CGCCTGTAGGAGTGCTGGTTGGTGGTCCACTCAGAAGCACAGCTGGTGCACGGAGATAGGTCTGCAGACAGGAGGCTCCTGTGCGTGGTATGCAAGCCCTTCCGAGATTTAGATGTTTACTGGGTAGTCGGTTCAAGCCAAGGTCAGGTACCAGGTGGAAATCAGAGCAGACGTAGTCAGATGGGATAGCCGAGGTCATACACAGAGGAGCGAGAGAGAGAAAGAGTATCCGTAAGCCAAGCCGAGGTCAGATCAGGGGGTAAATCAGAGTAGACCGGTCCAGGAGCAAGCCGAGTCAGTAACAGGAAATCACAGGTCACAATCACAGGAAACAGGAACAGGGCACAGGGAGCTAGAGATCATCCAGCAACCAGAGGAAGTGATGAGCCTCCTTATAAAGGCCTTCTGGCACCAAACTGAGGCTGATGTGTACTTATGCGGCCATGCAGAGTACTGGCAGAAATGCCAGATCTTCTAGAACTTCTGCCGTGGACAGGACTCTGACACCTTGATTGATGAGTGAGTTCTTTTAACTGTTTGTGTAAATTGCCAATTGTCTTTCAATCCAGTAAATACGTTTTATGTTACACTTAGATTACGCCCTCTCCTCTATCTGTTCACCCAGAACCACTTCAGTCTCTAAGGAGGTGCTGCATCAAGTGTCTGAGGCCAGTAAGAAGTTGCCCTGGATGTTCCAATTGAGCTTATGGACTTTTTGCTGGACTCATTATATCATTAGTATATACATGACGTTCATTGCGCCATATACCCCCCTTTCTATCTATTTGCTGTTTTATGCCTGTTGATAGCCTGACCCTGGAGCTCCTGTCCCTCTACCTTTTCCAGAGCTGCACACTCTACGATATATCCAATTGATTTGCCGTTTCCTCATTACTGTCATGTAACAACTAAAGTCCAATGGCCTTCTATTATTACTCTGATGGCATCCTCCAGCTTGCAGCCTTGCTTGTCATTAAATTACAGAAATTTCACAAACAATACTCTATCACCCTCGCCACTTCTCACGGCGATGCGAATTTCAATTTTCTAGATGCTAATGAAATCATAAAGTAATCAGTTTGTGACAGATTCAGACATCAAAGCTGCAAATAGAGGCAATCTCCCCGGCCCTGGACTTCCCAGGCCCGCCTGGCGGTAAACGCCGCGGCCATTCGTTTGCTCGCCCAGCAGGCAGGAAATTACAAGCGATGACACACAATCTACACACGGGAGATCGCCGAGCATGATTGGAAATTTTCAAAGCAGGGCTTCTAATAATGAACTTGTCCGCAGGACAAGATGCTCTGCGCAAATGATCGGTGATGGCTGCTAGACGGAAATGACCGCCTTCCTAGGCTCATGGAGACAGAAGATCTGAAAAATGCACTGAACCAAACGGCTACGCCATTTTTTCCCATCATTGCACCTTTAGCACTCTCCCCCCAAAAGGGCCCGCTGTTTGGGTCCCTTGGGTTCCTTCCCAGTAGATGCGCTAGCAGCCAGGGACACCGTCTCAGTCACTCTTTGGGTTCAAGGATCACTCTATAGGTACCCTTTTCTGATGCTTTATTGAAAACTTGAACATGGATGGGTGTAGGGTGACCATGGGATACTCCAGCAACCTGAGGACATCTATCTTTCTCATATAAAATCTGAGCACAGACCTTGTAGCAGCAAATAATGGGCTGAGCTACACGGGGACACCATAAGCAATGTTGACTGTAACGGGTATTTCCGTTAGACCCCCGCTCCCCTGTCCGAACACAGATCCACGGACACCACCGCTGGCCATACAAGACGAGACAAGACCAGACTTGAAGGAAACCAGGAGATAGACTGCTTTATTTTAACACAGACACAAGATATATACACAGGGCGGGGCAATACATTTAGTAACAAGAGACACACAGCAGACACCCCCCACCAAGCCAATACACAAACACATACATCCCATAATAGTTAGCTCCCAAGCAAGACACACAATAGACACACAATGGGACAACCACATGGCATTAAACAATGAACAACCCCCACACCCCACCTATACATATATCTACACAATAGCAGGACATTTCACCCTGCACCCCTAACAGGCACAGGGTGACTTACACATAAGAGGGATATGGGGAGCTGAGACAGGGGTCTCCCCACCTCTCTTAAGTGAGCTGTGTTCCATGGGCCCCCCACCCAAAGTGACTCCCGTCACATTGACATTTAAGCAGAAAGCTCACTCTGATACAAGTGGGATAGCAGCAGTACACAGTCACTGGCATCTCTCACCAATGTCCTTGGATAATTGGATGCCTCCTTCTAATATCTTCTAGACAGTTCTCCTGTGAATTCCTCAAAGCAGATCCCCCAAAAAAGGAGTCCCTCAGTCAACTCCAGCAAAGTTCAGTAGAATCGTCTCCCCGTGTAGCACCTTGATGAGCAGTAGAAAACACAGCTTGACTGCCCAGAAGGGCAGCAGCCCCTCAGGCTGGGATCTCTTACTACTGGACAAGAACTCCTCTGTTCCAGGCCGCAAACTATTTATGCTCCTTCCCAGCCACCTACTGGGCACCCTCCCCAGGGATTGGTTGGAATTGCATAGATATTGAGCTGCTGATTTGACTCTCCCAGCCCACTACATTCCAGAACCATCCAGAAGAAAGGGGGAAGCAGTCAATCCTGCAACCAGTGAGAAACAGGACAGCCGAAAATAATCACAAGCAGCTCAACTGATTACAGTAGAGCCAGGGGTGTATTTATCACAAGGCAAGCAAGGCATTTGCCTAGGGTGTCATTTTTCAGGGGGGCAGCACCTCCCCCCAGAAGAAGGGATGGAAGATGGGACATGTGCGCCATTGGAACCAGGTGGGATCCGAGACAGGCTGTAGGCTGCTTGATGGTGTATGCAGAGCATAACTCTCGTTCCTGGGGATGTCTGGAGGTGTGAAGATGAGTGTCTTTCTCTCTATCGTGGGGGGGTGGTAGTGGAAGTCTCTCCTGCGGGTGGGGGCAGCAGGGGTGTTATTGGTCAATGTCAGGCTCTCTTCGCGGAAGGGTGGTGGTGGTGTTGGCCCGTGTCCTTGGGGGCAGACGATTTTTGCGTTGCCTAGGGAAGCACAAAACCTAAATACACCTCTGAGTAGAGCTAAGATCTAAATTCCCCTAACGGTCCTAACCGAACTAGCAGCCTAACAAGGAGGGTGCTACACACCTATAATCTGCAACCATTAAAAAAACAAAACCAGCCAACCTGACCTGCAGACCCCTGAGCCTTTATTGTTCCAGAACCCCCTGGAATTCTGCAGTCTGATGATGTTAATGTATAGTACAGCATGCACTGAGCATACATCGGGGGAAATAATGATTTGATCCCCTGTAGATTGTGTAGATGTGTCCACTTACACAGAAATAAAGGAGCTATCATTTTTATCATAGATGTAATTTAACCCCTCGCCTACAGGGCACTAATACCCCCTTCCTGCCTCCTGGGCACTTCTACTCCCTTCCTGCCTACAGGGCACTTCTACCCCCTTCCTGCCTACAGGGCACTTCTACCCCCTTCCTGCCTATAGGGCACTTCTACCCCCTTCCTGTCTACCGGGCACTTCTACCCCCTTCCTGCCTACCGGACACTTCTACCCCCTTCCTGCCTACAGGGCACTTCTACCCCCTTCCTGCCTACCGGAAACTTATACCCCCTTCCTGCCTACAGGACACTTCTACCCCCTTCCTGCCTACAGGGCACTTCTACCCCCTTCCTGCCTACAGCGCACTTCTACCCCCTTCCTGCCTACCGGAAACTTATACCCCCTTCCTGCCTACAGGACACTTCTCCCCCTTCCTGCCTACCGGGCACTTCTACCCCCTTCCTGCCTACAGGGCACTTCTACCCCCTTCCTGTCTACCGGAAACTTCTACCCCCTTCCTGCCTACCGGGCACTTCTACCCCCTTCCTGCCTACAGGGCACTTCTACCCCCTTCCTGCCTACAGGGCACTTCTACCCCCTTCCTGCCTACCGGGCACTTCTACCCCCTTCCTGCCTATCGGGCACTTCTACCCCCTTCCTGCCTACAGGGCACTTCTACCCCCTTCCTGCCTACAGGACACTTCTACCCCCTTCCTGCCTACAGGACACTTCTACCCCCTTCCTGCCTACAGGACATTTCTACCCCCTTCCTGCCTACCGGGCACTTCTACCCCCTTCCTGCCTAAAGGACACTTCTACCCCCTTCCTGCCTACAGGACATTTCTACCCCCTTCCTGCCTACCGGGCACTTCTACCCCCTTCCTGCCTACAGACACTTCTACCCCCCTTCCTGCCTACAGGACACTTCTACCCCCTTCCTGCCTACAGGGCACTTCTACCCCCTTCCTGCCTACAGGACACTTCTACCCCCTTCCTGCCTACCGGGCACTTCTACCCCCTTCCTGCCTACCGGGCACGTATACCCCCTTCCTGCCTATCGGGCACTTCTACCCCCTTCCTGCCTACAGGACACTTCTACCCCCTTCCTGCCTACCGGGCACTTCTACCCCCTTCCTGCCTACAGGGCACTTCTACCCTCTTCCTGCCTACCGGGCACTTATACCCCCTTCCTGCCTACAGGGCACTTCTACCCCCTTCCTGCCTACAGGACACTTCTACCCCCTTCCTGCCTACCGGGCACTTCTACCCCCTTCCAGCCCAGGCCAGTTTTCAGCTTTCAGCGCTATCACACTTTGAATGACAATTGTGCGGTCATGCAACACTGTACCCATATGTAATTTTTATAATTTTTGGAGACAGATAGAGCTTTCCTTTTGGTGGTATTTAATCACCTCGGGGTTTTTATTTTTTGCTAAACAAACCAAAAACAACTGAAAATGTAGAAAAAAAAACATGTTTTTTCTTAGTTTTTTGTTATAAAATTTTGTAAATAAGTGATTTTTCTCCTTCACTGATTTGCACTAATGAGGCTGCACTGACGGGCACTGATAGGTGAAACTGATGGGCACTGATGAGGATGCACTAGTAGGTGGCACTGATGGGCATTGACAGGCATCCCTGATGGGCACTGAAAAGCAGCACTCATATATGGCACTGATAGGTGGCACTGATAAGCAGCACTGACTGACACTGTTAGGTGGCACTGACTGGCACTGATAGGCAGCACTGATGGGCACTGATAGGCGACACTGACTGGCACTGATAGGTGGCACTGATTGGCAGCACTGATAGGTGGCGCTGACTGGCACTGATGGGTGACACTGAAAGACAGCTCAGATGGGCACTGATATGTGGCATTGATGTGGCACTGATGGGCACTGGCACGTGGTATTGATGAGCACTGACAGATAGCATTGATGGGCACTGACAGGTGTCACTTCTGGGGCCACACTGATCATCAGGGCACACTGATCATCAGTGCCCTGATGATCAGTGTAGATGTCCCCTCCGAGGATTGCTGATTACTGTCTCTCCTCTCCTCTGTCAGCGTGACGGCTCGTAAGGAGAGAAATGCAATAACCAGCATTTCCCTATTTACATGTGACCAGCTGTGATTGGACACAGCTGATCACATGACCGAACTGACATCTTCGGCTCTTTCCGTTGATTGGTGATCCGCTGTGTCCGAGGGACACAGTGGACCGCCGATCGCCGCGCTGCGCGCTTCCGGAGCTGCGCATGCGCGGTTAGAGTAGGAGGACGTCATATGACTCCTCCCAGAACGAGAGAACCGCCATCATTACCTTATATGGCAGACGGGAGGTGGTTAAATGATAGAGACAGAATATCAACCAAAAATCCAGAAAAAAACACACGATACAAATGTTATAAATATAATTGCAGTTCAGTGAGTAAAATAAGTATTTGATCCCCTACCAACCAACAATGATTCTGGCTCCCACAGACTGGCTATGTGTTCATGTGGTACACAGATTAGTCCTGTCAATGTAAGAAGGTGCTCCTAATGACAACTCATTATAAATCATAATTGTTATATATCAAATGATAACATACTCAAATTATAACATATAATACTCAAAATATAATTGTTATATATCAAATGATAAAATACTCAAATTATAACATATAATACTCAAAATATAATTGTTATATATCAAATGATAAAATACTCAAATTATAACATATAATACTCAAAATATAATTGTTATATATCAAATGATAAAATACTCAAATTATAACATATAATACTCAAAATATAATTGTTATATATATCAAATTGTAAAATACTCAATTGTTATAATTATAATTGTTATAATCCGAGTTGCAGTTCAGTGAGTAAAATAAGTATTTGATCCCCTACCAGCCAACAATGATTCTGGCTCCCACAGACTGGCTATGTGTTCATGTGGTACACAGATTAGTCCTGTCAATGTAAGAAGGTCCTCCTAATGACAACTCGTTATTAATATAAATTATAATCGTTATATATCAAATTATAAAATACTCAAATTATAATTATAATATATAATACTCAACCTATAATTGTTATGTATCAAATTATAAAATACTCAAATTATAATTATAATATATAATACTCAAATTATAATTATGTATCAAATTATAAAATACTTAAATTATAATTATAATATATAATGCTCAAATTAAAATTGTTATAATTTGAGTTGCAGTTCAGTGAGTAAAATAAGTATTTGATCCCCTACCAACCAACAATGATTCTGGCTCCCACACACTGGCTATGTGTTCATGTGGTACACAGATTAGTCCTGTCAATGTAAGAAGGTCCTCCTAATGACAACTCATTATAAATTATAATTGTTATATATCAAATGATAAAATACTCAAATTATAACATATAATACTCAAAATATAATTGTTATATATATCAAATTGTAAAATACTCAAATTATAACATATAATACTCAAAATATAATTGTTATATATCAAATTGTAAAATACTCAATTGTTATAATTATAATTGTTATAATCTGAGTTGCAGTTCAGTGAGTAAAATAAGTATTTGATCCCCTACCAACCAACAATGATTCCGGCTCCCACAGATTGGCTATGTGCTCATGGGGTACACAGATTAGTCCTGTCAATGTAAGAAGGCGCTCCTAATGACAACTCTTCATGTGTATAAAAGACACCTGTCCACAGAATCTCTTTCTTCCATTCAAACCTCCCCACTAGTGATGGGCCGAACACCCCCCTGTTTGGTTTGTGGTCGAACATTCGAACCTACAGAATGTTGGACTGGGAACCACTTGAGCACATGGCCAGTCTGTGGGAGCCAGAATCATTGCTGGTTGGTAGGGGATCAAGCACTGATTTTACTCACTGAACTGCAACTCAGTTTATAACATTTGTATTGTGTGTTGTTTCTGGATTTCCGGTTGATATTCTGTCTCTATCATTAAAAATACACTTATGACCCTTCATTTCTTTGTAAGTGGGCAAACTTACAAAATCTGCAGGGGATCAAATCATTATTCCCCCCCCCCCCCCGTGTATCGGAGAGGGGATAGAAGAAAGGCCATATTGGATGCAGTTCCCACAGAACTTTTATTTTTTTACATCCCGCAGTTCACAGAGCCCAGGCTGTGATGTGCAATCAAAAAAAAAAATATATGCAAGAAAACAAATAGTAAATAGCACATCAATAATGACTCTCAGATAAATGTAACGGTGACAAATCGACTTCTGTCCTGGCTGAAGATCGACTCGGCTCTCCCTTTCAGATATCCTGACTTTTAATTAGCGCAGAGTTTTCTTTAATATCTAAAAGACATAAACATCTCCAGGAAGAGCCATTTCATCTCTCGGACGGAAAGAGCCCTGATGGGAAATTTTCATTTCATAATTGGAGTCGGGGAAAATTGGAACTCGCAGAATCCCATTTTTTTTTTTCCCAATCACGCTGTCAGAATGGAGTTTATAAAGAGATTTGTCTCCGTTTTGGTGACACCTTGTCTTCCAAACTGTCACATCGCTTACGGCTGAAGCTCGGCGGATAATAATGATTTCAAGTGACGCGGTTTGGGATAATTCCACCCAAAAATACACCACAAGGTGTTAAAGCGGACCCTGCGGTAAAATAAAATGATAGGGTGGTGCAGGGGCGGACTGACAACTCATGGGGCCCCAGGCAATAGGGGATCATGGGGCCCCTGTGTCCTTGCCCAAACTCAAAAAAGCCTATGAAAAAGGTACCAGGGGCATCTCATGGGGCCACCTACTGACCCGGGGCCCTCAGGCAGTGCCTGAGTTTCCAAATGGTCAGTCCGCCCCTGGGGTGGTGTTGTCTGTCTGGGCCCCCTTCACAGATCGCCTACCTATTGGTGTAAAATGTACCTGTAAAAAAAAAAAAATGAGTACATAGGCTTGGCTTACACCTTGTGTGTCAGGAACACGTGCAGAATCTCCCTGTGACTGCGTGTGTTTCCTCCGGGTACTCCGGTTTCCTCACACACTACAAAGACATGCTGGTAGGTTAATTGGATCCTGTCTAAATTGGCCCTAATATGTATATAAATGTAAGTTAGGGACCTTAGATTGTACACCCCTTTGTCCACCATACTGCCCCGAACTACATCACCGACCTAATATCCAAGTACCGCCCAACACGCACACTCCGCTCCTCACAAGACCTCCTTCTCTCTAGTTCCCTGGTCTCCTCCTCCCATGCCCGCCTTCAGGACTTCTCCAGGGTGTCACCCATCCTCTGGAACTCCCTGCCCCAACCCATCAGATTATCACCTACTCTCCTCTCCTTTAGGGGCACCCTGAAAACCCATCTCTTCAGGGAAGCCTACCCCACCCCCTGCTAACTTGCCGACCTCCTCCAGTCTTCCCACCACTCCATCCCCCACAGCTATCTCCTCCTGTACCACCATCCCCTCCCTCCTAGATTGTAAGCTCCAAGGAGCAGGGCCCTCGATCCCCTCATGTTTTGCATTGTATTGGTATTGTTCTGTCACATGTTCTGTCCTACTTTGTAATGTACAGCGCTGAGCGAACTATTGGCGCTTTATAAATACTGTATAATAATAATAATAATATATATGTGTAAAGCGTTGCGTAAAATTGACGGCGCTATATAAGTACCTGAAATAAATAAATAAATAAATTGGTCGCTTTCCTGTCTTGCACAGAAACGTGCGTAAAGAAACAAACAGAGGGCGCACGGGCCTGGTGCGTTACCTTCTAAAAATGAGAGTTATTGACTAAAAAGTGGTATACTCACAAAGGAATAAATTTAAAGGCACGTCCAAAATGTCTGACGAGGCGGAACCTCTTCCTCAGAGCCAAGGAAGAGGTTCTGCCTCGAAATGCGTCAGTATTGGAGGTCTACAAACTCCCAACAGCCACCATCTAGGGAGATTGGACCTTGCTGTCTTTCTTGTGCCTTTGATTTTATTCCTTTGTGAGTATACTACTTTTTTATTCAATAAATCTCATTTTTAGAAGGTGATGCCCTATAGGCCCGTGCACCTTCTGTTTTTCTCTTTGCACACAGTTTCTTTGGATTTCTCTGGTCCGTTGAGGGCAGCAAGTCTTGCATTTCTAAAAAAGTACTCCATGTGGGGCCACAAACATGGTGGAGTCCATCGTCCAAACCGCATGGTGAAAAAGGGTCATAGACTTGTAGTGCCCCCTCCAGGGGCGGACTAACAACTCATGACCCCTGAAACTCTGCATAGCTTACTCTGATCTCTGAACTCTTTGCATTACTCAATCCTGACCCCTGAACTCTATGGGTTACTTAATCCTGACCCTGAACTCTTTGCATTGCTCAGTATTGACCCCCTGAACCCTGCATTACTCAGTCCTGACCCCTGAACTCTTTGCATTGCTCAGTATTGACCCCCTGAACTCTGCATTACTCAGTCCTGACCCCTGAACTCTGCATTACTCAGTCCTGACCCCTGAACTCTGCATTACTCAGTACTGACCCCTGAACTCTTGGCATTGCTCAGTCCTGACCCCTGAACTCTTCTCATTACTCAGTCCTGACCCCTGAACTCTTCTCATTACTCAGTCCTGACCCCTGAACTCTTCTCATTACTCAGCCCTGACCCCTGAACTCTGCATTACTCAGTCCTGACCCCTGAACTCTTCTCATTACTCAGCCCTGACCTCTGAACTCTTTGCATTACTCAGTCCTGACCCCAGAACTCTTGGCATTGCTCAGTCCTGACCCCTGAACTCTGCATTGCTCAGTCCTGACCCTTGAACTCTTCTCATTACTCAGTCCTGACCCCTGAACTCTTCTCATTACTCAGTCCTGACCCCTGAACTCTTCTCATTACTCAGTCCTGACCCCTGAACTCTTCTCATTACTCAGCCCTGACCTCTGAACTCTTTGCATTACTCAGTCCTGACCCCTGAACTCTT